GTTTTCTTTTCTAATTCTCTTCCAATTTACAATGCAATCTCTCTTTTCTGTCTCTTTTTGTAACCTACATTTTTATTGCATATTTTATTTACTAAATCTCAGCCTTGTTTCTTTTCTTCATTCTCCCAGCATTGTTTATACCAAATTAATATAGGCCTTCCAATAACCCCAGGTAAGTAGTTGAAACCAGATTTCCTTCTTTAGTAAGTATAAAGAGAGAGAGAGAGAGAGAGAGAGAGAGAGAGAGAGAGAGAGAGAGAGAGGGGTGGATAGGATATGGTAGGATATACAGAAAAATAGAGAAGAGGAAACAATGAACTTCCTCCTCTGTTACACAAATGATTCACAGGTAAATTCAACAAAATATTGAACAATGTCACTTTGAGACTGCATGGGAGTAGGAAGTTTCTCTGCATTTAAAACTTAGATATATGATTTAAAACAACATATCACAGTTTTTAAAACTATATCTTTTGTGTTGATCATGTGCACATGCAGTTTCCATGTATACATACTATACAACCATTGAACCGACTGTGGTTTGGAGATCTGCAGGTAGCCAATTATTTGTGGTTGAAGGGATTTATTAACGTTTGGGAGAGTTGATGCAGAATCAATATTTAATATTAAAGGTAATACAAAGTTTTGGGATGGGGTCATGAATTTGGTTCAAATAAACATATTGGAAGCATATGCGATCCTACAATATTCAGGGATCGTTGTTGCGGTTGAAATCGAGTCTAAAGTTATGAAATTGTAAATAATAAACTCTTTATATTATATAGCTCCCTCTCAAGGTCAAGATATTAATTAAGCTATAAAACAATGTTTCTTGACTAAAATCCACCAATTAGCTATTTCCGTTTGGAAATTATATATAACAACTACATATTCTGAGATTTTCATGGTCACAGCTACCATTGTGCGGCTGTAGGCGCTATTTGACATTTATAAAAATTTACCGGGAGCACCAGTAAATTTTTATATTCAATTTTTCTCGAAAGGAGAAATGTTTTAGAGGCTAATTTTTCTTGTGCTTATAATACATCTACAGGGGCATCCAAATATATCAAAATGGTAAAGAATCACTTTCCACCCAATTTTCAAATTTCCCAAAACTTTGTATTACCTTTAAGGACAGCAAGACAATAAAATAGTGTAACATTTCTTCACAGAAAATGATGTGCAGAATTTAGTCAATTGAACAGTGAATTTTTATGTCAAAATAGCATCAGTCCGATGATATTATACAAAGAAACTTAAAATTGTCTTTTACCACATTAAATATTTTCTCTGAAACAATCCGTAATGTCTCTGTAAGCCGATGTATGCTAGTTGCATAAGTATAACATTCATTTGTCCTTTCCAGTGAAATAGTTCACCCACTATCTGATTTTACTTGCTGGCTAAGAAATTATAGCTCTCACAGTACTAGAGTTACATACTTACATTATATCTTTAAATCTGTATACAAAAGGAAGTGATACAATGGGCCACACCCTACCACTGGTGTATACTGCAACGATTGATTATCAAAGGACAGGAAACAATACTGATGGCAACTGTCTGTGTTTTACTTATTCGCTAATGCACATTTGCCCTTTTCTGAGTAATTAACAGCAGGAAATTCCAAAAGGGCTGAAAGCATTTCTCTGAAATAATGAAGCCTGACAGTGCAATGCACATATAGGCTTTATTCCATATTACATAGTACATACGGTACATTATTTATTCTAATCCTTACTTTTTTTGGTTGAATCCTTTCAATTTAATTCCAGTGAGATATGCATACTTTTATTTCTTACAAAAGCTTACAACTTAACTTTGTAAAAGTAAAATGATTTATATTATTGCAGTTTGTTGTTCTTTGAATAATTAATATTATAGTCTACAAATATCCTATCTTCAATGTCCATTACAGATAATTATAGTCTCCTCTCTGCATATTTATCTCTCTCTTTCTCGCTTGCTCTCTCTCTCTCTCTCTCTCTCTCTCTCTTTGATCTCTCTCTCTCTCTCTGTATCTCCCTCTCTCTGTATCTCCCTCTCTCTCTCTCTCCATTCTCCCTTTGTTTATATTTCTCTCTTCATTTCTTTATCTTAATCTCCCACTTAAAATATATGTTTATATATGTTCTCTTTTCCCTTCTATTTCCATCATTGTTCCCTATTACTTTCTATATAATATGCATTTCTCTCTTATTTAAATTACATGCTTTTTCTATCTCTTCATCTTTCCCCGATCTCTCTCTCTCTCTCTCTCTTTATCCTTCTCTCCGACTTTTTTTAATTTTTCTTCTCTTCTTACTGTCTCTTCTTTCTCAATATGTCTCCTTTTCTCTTTTTCCCTTAACCCCTCCTATTCCCCTTTTGCTTACTTCTATCTTGTTAATTTCCATTTCTGATGAGCTATATTATTCAGATCCAGTCTTCCATTCCTACAGGTTATTTTACAGCCCTGGTAATAAGGTTATTTGAGCAGCGAGCTAGCTGTTATAGGAGGCAAACCAAACAACACCATTCTTGTTTCCACTTTCACCGGGCCACCAGGCATAATAGAGGGACTTTGCCCTGGCATTGAACTTCACAAGGTTTGAATGGTTTTAGCATACTTCTAAGTTCAAACTACAGACATTGGTAAACTCAGGAGATGGAAGAAATCTTTTACTCTCTCCCAAGCAACATATTCACTGGATTCTGCTTGCTAAGATCTTTTTCCTTACTCTGATGTGAATACCAACATGAAATTCAAACTACAGACATTGGTAAACTCAGGAGATGGAAGAAATCTTTTACTTTCTCCCAAGCAACATATTCACTGGATTCTGCTTGCTAAGACCTTTTTCCTTACTCTGATGTGAATACCAACATGAAATCATTTACATAGTCATAGTTGTGGTGGTATACGTGCAAATACAGAAGAAATGGAAGTGGGGATTTTACATTTATATCCATGATAGAGTTTACACTATAAGATAAGTAATTACTTTTAAAGTATGTATATTATGATGATGAAAAGAAATTATAGCATAGGATGTATTGTTCCTGCAACTAATTATACTTTTTTTCCTTCAAATTGGCATTGCAATCTCATATATATCCATAATTGAAGATACATACAGGTATTAGAATAAGTCATTACCTTTGAATGTTCAAATATATTGTGATATAGTTTAGGAGGGTATAATGAAAAGAATGAATAACATACGATGAATTCAATCATTATTTAAATGAATATCTTTTTTGACATTTCTTTTTTATTTGCATTTATGACACCACCCCTTGCTCTCTCTCAAAAAATTGAAATTATTTGTATTTTTTATATATTTTTTAAATTAAATGTTGCTCTTATCTCATCTTTATTCACAGAGGAAAAAAATAGCCTGCCAAGCAGTTGAATGTCAAGTAGTCTCTTTAGCTGAGGCTGGATCTGGGGGTGAAACTTGCACATTGGAAACATGTACATGAACATATATCTATTACAGGCATGTATGCATCTGCGCCAAGATGAGTTTCTGTTGTTTTGCATGGATCAGAGATATGTTACCCTCATGGAATTCAACCTTTAGCACTTTCATGTAGATAATGTAGATATATTATATGTAAGATGAGTTGTACAACTTACCACATGCAATGTTTCATGTATTCAACAACAGGTACACGTAATAGGTATCAGAATGTTCTGCATATGACGCTGAAAGTGGATGCCTTACTGTTTATATTTTCCCTTTTGGCAGTTGTGGTTGAAAAATCTTTTTTTAATGATTTTATCTCCCCTCCCAAACCCAATCTCAGCCAATTTACATATGTTGTCCATCCCCTCCCCCCCCCCCTTTTTTTCTTCTCTCTCTCTCTCTCTCTCTCTCTCTGTCTCCCTCTCTCCCTCCCTCTCTGCATCCATTTTGCTCTCACTCTTTCCCCACTTTGTCTCCTTTCGTTTCCAAAACAAAATCGCTACTGAAATTCCAGGTAGACTACTCTACAGGGTGAGTCAGAAAAATGTCCCACTTTTTAAAAGTTGTATTGTTTGATCTTGCAGTCTTGTAAAGATTGTCTAATGTTCAGTCATGCATGCAGAGATTCAAATGAAAATGGCACCTAAATGTACTTGGAGGATAACTCTATCAAGACATATCATGAACCCATGATAAAATATTCATACTTCAAACAATACAACTTTTAAAAAGTGGGACATTTTTTCTGACTCGCCCTGTAGATAAAAGATCTTACTGAAAACTACCTGTACAGTGCATTAGAAAATGGAAATAATTCCAATTATTAGATCAGAAAATAAATCCTGTCTTTCTTTTGACAATTATCTATAGGAAGTGCATATTAAGTGGTGGTAGCAATCTATTCAAACATATTTATAGATTTATTCAAATCACAGTATAGATACCACACATCAACTCCCTTGCCTTCCTCATAAATAAACGTTTTCATTTTATGTTTTTCATGTAGCCGTATGTGCATGTACCAGTACACTCTACGGAAAAAGGAGAAGTCACGGTACCCATAGAAAGTAGAATGCACAACAGCATGGTTTTCTTGGATTTCTTGTATGTTCTATGTGCCTGGGCGAGTAAGTACATGGGGGATGCTCAAGAATAATGTATTTATTAGGTCAGATATGATTGCCAGAGAACCATGATAAAATCTGTAATGGAAGCATTTTATCATCTATAAAACGGAGGGTTTAATTTATCAAGTTTGTGCACAGCCTGACAGGTGTGGTCATCTCCATAATTCTCTTGATAACTGCTATGACCAGGAGCTCTCCACTACAGTTAATTCCCTCTCACCCGCAGAACAAACCCCATTTTCCACTTAAATGCCGAACTTGATGAATCAGAGTATCCATCAATTACCCTTCAAATGTTACAAGGTATAGAGGGGGGTAATAATTGGAGATTGGAGTCATGAGGACTAAGATGGTATGTTTACTCTCATGACTCATCCCAAACTCCTCTTTTCTTCTCGTTTAATATCGCCAGACAGGC